ATCTGAGCTCAGACTTTTTCGGCCCTCAATGGACAAGGCCAAAATGAAGAGATACCCTGTGGCACAACACGGGACTGATTCCTGAGAGGTTCACCACTCTTAGCACCAACCCCAAGAGTTCAGTGCCACTTTCCTCCAAACAAAAGGCAAGTGTCTACAATTCTACAAATTTCCATAAAGGGAGGCAGAACTGGTGTGAACTAGCATAAGCCTCTGCTTCTCCCCAGCATCTGAACTAAACTAAGAAGTCTGGTTAATAGCACAAGCAGGCCACTTGGAAATTTGGGTGCCATTTATCAGCATATAAACACAGAACCTTGACAGGTCTCAGCGAAAGCACAAGTAATGATTCTGTGCATGCTACCCAACTGGGAAGGTGCTATCCTATCAGTGCAAGAAGATTCTACACTCAAGTTGAGATAAAAACACAATATATCCTGAGGTGCCTGGCTCGTTGTTGGTAGAACATACAACTCCTGACCTCAGGGTTGTGAGTTCAAGCCCCACACTGGGTGTAGAGCTTACTTAAAAACAACAACAACGATATATCTCATTTCTACATCATTCCCATTTTACAGTTGCAAAAACCGAGACCAGCTATGGTTAAGCAACTTCTCCAAAGTGTTGCACACTCCTGTACCACCACCTCCCTTCGATGCCAGAGTACTTAGCGGTATTCCATGATATCCAGTCATAGTCCGTTAGAACTGCCTGCATGTCTTAACGAAGTTCTAACCTATTTGCTAAGCAGAAGCTATCCTATTCACACTCAGTAAACACTTGTGAAACAAATGAGGGAGCTTCTCACTATTCTACATGCTTCTCAACTCTCAGCGCTAGTATTGCTTCTCATGAAGTCAGTAAATGTCTACTGAAAGTTAAACATCTCTTGTGTGGCAGGCACTGTTAGGTACTTGTATACGTGACGAAGATAAACATCACGAGGGTCTCACGAGCATATGCACAGGAGACAGACTTGAATTTTGGAAAGAATTGTAGACTGCTAAGGGAGGAGGGGGTGGGGTGGCTGGGTGGTCAAGTCTAGCCTTAGTGTCCAGTACAGGTTATTGGAGCAAGTGACCGCTAGGCTGCGGAACGATGAATGAGGAGTTTGCGAGCATGGAGGATGTATAGAGAGAGAGAGAGAGAGAGAGAGAAAGAGAAACAAGAGATCAGTAAGGGTAAAGGGAACACCCAGCTGAAAGATTCCAGTCACTCAGCCTTAGACGTTCCAGGACCCAGGTAACAAAGCGTAGATACGAACTTCTTCAATATGAGTGATTCTCACTTTAATAAACAGAAAAGAGCCAACTTTAAAATGAGAAGTAATCATTTTTCCAGTTCATTATTAGGCTCTGAGATGTGAAAAATTAATATGGTGTGGTGGTTCTCAAGCTTGCCTTCACATTAGAATCCTCTGAGCATTAAAAAAACAATTGATGCCCATGGTTGAGCCCCAAATCTTAGAAGATAGGGCCCAAGTATCAGTATCTTTTTAAAGTTCCCCAGGTCATCCTATGGGGCACCTGAGTGGTCAGTTGGTTGAGTGTCCGACTCTTGATTTTGGTTCAACTTATGATCCCAGGGTCATGTGATCGAGCCCCGCATCAGGATGTGTGCTAAGTGTGGAGCCTGCTTGAGATTCTCTCTCCTCTCTCTCTCTCTCTCTCTCTCTCTCTCTGCCCCTCTCCCCCATTGGAAAGTGTGCACACGCTCTCTCTCAAAAAAAAAAGTTCCACAGGTCACCCTAAAGTATAGCCAAATGGATGACAGCAACAACTCAAAAGCAAAGCAGCACTGAGCCTTGGTCTGGTCCTGAAATGACCCCTCACCTTCCCATGGGCTGACTTCCTGTCAATCAAATCTCAGCCTCAATATGACTCCTCAGAGTGGCCTGCCCTGACCCCGACTCTAAAGGAGCCACACCTAGTATGTGCCACATAACACAGTGCTTATTCCTGACGTCTGTCTTATTATCTTGCTGTAGGTGTTCCAACAGAATGGAAGTTCCTTGAGACTAGGGATCTTGCTGCACTTCCAGTAGGAGGTCAGGAAGTACTTTATGAATGAACGAATGAAGTAATAAGCCAGAGGACAGGTAGGCATGGGGGTATCTCTCATGGATATGGAATTTAAAAAATAATATCCTGAAGCTATAATTCTGAGAAATTTCGGTTGCGTATGATTAAGCCAGACTGACCGAACGGCACGGAGAACATTTTTTAACTCTTAGCTAAAAACTAGACAAGCCAGATGTCTATTTCCAAGCAGAGCTCTACCTAAGGAGACTGAAGAACACACAGCATTTACTCTGGACTGGAGTCAACAAAGGTGGAATTAAAAGTCTTCATGCAGAGGGAAGGGGGGATGAAAATATGGTCACCATTTCCATGAATAGCAAAAAAAGAAGAAATAGGTCAAAATACGGAGCAATTAAGATTTGAGCTTAGGCATGAGGAAAAACTCGCTGAGGGAAATCCTGCGACACTACAGCAGCCATTACAGATGAGAAGTAAAAGTGAAATTTCTGCGGGTCCCTAAGACTGGCAAAAAAAATGCTTCCATTTAGAAGGGTCGCGCACAAGTACACAGAGGAAGATGAATATCCAAGATGGCTAGAATTTTCTTCTGATTGTTATTATTGTACTACAATATCTATAGTACCTGAGCTTCCTACCTGAGCTTCTTTAGATCTGGTGCCACAAAAATGAGCCAGAAGGAAAAAATACCAGTAAGAACAGTACCAAGTAAGTCTTTTTGGAAAGCAGAAATATGTCCGTGCTTTTCCTTCTTCATAGAATATATGTTTAGGGGCATGTGGGTGGCTCAGTCAGTTAAGCATCCGACTTCAGCTCAGGTCATGATCTCGCGGTTAGTGGGTTTGAGCCCCACGTCGAGCTCTGTGCTGATGGCTCGGAGCCTGAGGCTTGGAGCCTGCCTCGCATTCTATGTCTCCCTCTCTTTCTGCCCCTCCCCTGCTTGTGCTCTGTCTCTCTCTCAAAAAATAAATAAACATTTAAAAAATTTTTAAAAAGAACATATGTTTGGACCTATCAACTAAATTAATAATGCAGGCATAAAGGAAATATTCGAATATTAAATTCACAAGTTACCTACACTATACACTTAAATGAGATGAAATGCCAGCAGAGTGCCTTGACCAGACTACCTGGGCTGTCAGCATAAAACCAGCAAGGTAATGTGTATCACCCTTCTTTCAAAGCCAGTTCTGTTAGATCCACAGCTTCTAACAATGGAAACATCCCTTCCCCATACTTTCCGTACTTAACATCAACACTCTGGAACCACTTTTGTTCGTTCCCATATATAGTTAATCACCAAGTTTTACGGAGTATTCCTTTGTACGGGGGGGGGGGGGGAGGGGGCGGGGGGTGAGGGAGGGGAAATTTACGGGTTAACAAGATTTAAGAGATCTACCAACCAAACTGTACAGGCCTCGTCTGGGTTCAAAGTCAAACTGCAAAACAAACGGACACTGACTAGATACAGAAAGGTACTTAGAAATACCGTTAATACTTTTGAGGTGTGATGATGAGACTGCGTGTATTTTCAAAATGCTCTTGTCTTTTAGAAATACACACCATGAACAGATGAAATGATATTCTGGATTTGTTCCAAAATAATTCAAAAGATGATGGAGGAGGGAATGGGGAAGAAAGAACAGATGAAACAAGAGGCACTGATGGGCTGAAGCTGGATAATAGGTACACGGGGTTCAAGTACACTTTTCAATTTGGTTTGTTTGAAAAATTTCCCTACCTTAAAAAAGTCATAACTTATACATTCGAATATGTTTTTTGATGTATAAATGCGGTGCACTTGGCCGGGAAAAGGGTTTCCAGCTGCCTAAATACCTCAGAGAAGCTTTCAAGTCATTCAGAGTCCTCTGGTTACCCATTTTTTATAGGACTAGGCCCTGGGCAAATCCTTACTTCCCTGCTCCTTCTCTTTGCTATGTGCTTCCCCATCAGCCCTACTCTACATCAGGCCACTTACCAAACCACTGGCCTGACCTGTTTTCATGTAAAATGCTTCCCATCTTCACCTAGATTACAAATTTTCAGAGGAAGATTCATGTTTACATCTTTTTGCCTCTTCAGAGCTTACAGCAGTGTTCTAAGTAGAGCAAAGGTGTTCGGTTACTGCTTTTCAGGTGGGCAGGATATAGGGAGTCTGCTCCCTCACACTTCTCTGTACTTCCCAGAGTTTTTACACACAGTAGGCCACTAATCCTTAGGAAACATCAAAGAGTTTCATTAAAGAGAATATAAAAGGCAAAACTGTTTTAAAAGGGAAATTGTGAAATACAGTTAAATCTCACAATAGTACGATGAATTAAAAAGTCAGAGCGGTAAATGCCGTGGTTCTCACTACAGAAAGCTTAATTTCTGAGGCAGCAAAGCGTTATCCTTAATTAACCCATGTTCAAAGCCCAAATCCTGTGCCCTGAGACAAAAATTATATTAAAGATTCATCTTTCTATAATGAAAACCTTATAAACATTTGCATTACTATTATTATTTTTATTATTGAAAATACCTCACTGCTTACATTGAGCTCCAATTTTTCTGGACTGTGACTGGGTCCAAAGGAAACAAAGCTAAAACAGAAGGGAGGGACAAAATAAATGGGGCCGGGGGGGGGGGGGGAAGGGTCAGGATCCACCCGGAAATGGTAGATTCCTACTAGTGGGTATACCCCAAGTAAGCAGGGCCCTGCTGAATGTTCCAGAATACCTGAGATTTTTAAATATTTGGTTAATTTCTACAGATTAACCTGTATTAAGCAAATATTAAGCACCTATGTGCCCAGCAGTGTTCTAAGCCATGGACAAGCCAGATTTCATGCAAAGTTCATGGAATAATTCATGACATACATTCGAAATATGCAACCAAGTTAACCTCAAATGATGAGAACCCAGAAAAGCACTAATTTTCATGAAATGTATGTACAAGCAGACACGTGAAAATCAGCTTTACCTTATATTTCATCTTGGGACATGAATGAATGTAGAAACCCATATAATAATAGCTGAGTTGAGATGTTTTCTGATGAAGCTGCCTCGTAAAAGCAATTTCTCTGCCAAAAGAAGAATAAAGACGAAGGCACAGTGAAATCTAGCTCCGATATTCAAAGTACTGTGTAATCTGATGTCCAATATCTGATGAAATCTGGAATTGTGACATTAGGCTATGAAGAAACTCCAAGTGTTGAAAGAAAAACAATTTCAAAAGTACTGTAAGATAACTTTTACTAAAGAAAGATACAACAACACTACATTAGTTTGAGCAAATGCATCTAAGTTCATGCTTTACACTTTATTGAGCTAATTAGTTGATCAAAAATTCAAAGAGCATAAAAGCAGAGATTTATTTAGTACATTACTCATCATCCCCTGGAGTTCTCAAAAGATTAGGTTTATCAAGTTAAAAACAAATTTTATAAAACTCAAAAGCCAACTCATTTCAGGAAAAAGGACTCTGATTATGACCATTTACATGCACATCCTTGCAAGTGTGTCTGCTGTAGAACTCTCTCCTACATCGAGACGCTACTCTAATATTTATTTTCCCTAAAACTAAAGAGTGGAAAAAAACTATGCTATCTCACCACTTTTCCTGTTTGTTGGGCATAGGCAAGGATTAACCGAACAAAGATGCTGTCAGCAATGTCCATGCTTGGAGTGGTTTTCATTTGTATCGGGATAAATCTGGGCACAGAACTTCATCCTACCCGCCCAAGTGAATGACTGGCTGTATTTAAGAGTTTTAAGCAAAGCTTCAGTACATTTCTAAAGTAAGAGAAAAGTTGTTCGTTTCGTTTTTACGTTTGTTTCTTGAAGATTTTCTTCTTTTCTTTCTTTCTCTTTTTCTCTTTTGTAGCAACAAATGCTTGAAATTCAAGTGAATAGCCTGTGCATTTTGCAAGTTCAAATTTAAATCACTGAAAAGGTGTGACCCTATAAATTCATCTGTAAAATAAAAGTATCTCTAAATCCAAGCAGACTGAACGTTAGTGGTCTGTAACAGAATAAATCCTACCAACCCTGGAACGAATCCACTTGGAAGGTTCAAAGTGAGGAAGGACGCCCGGCCACAAGGGCACTCTGCTTGGTCCTGCGCTGCCACTCCCTCCCTCAGCTGTCCGGGCCCAAACCTAGGAGCCACCCTCAACCATTCTTCTCCTCTCACTCCCATGTCCGACCCGTGTCGACAAATCCAGGTGGCTCAACCTCCAAAATTTATGGGGGGGTCTGACCGCTTGTCATTACCTCCACCGCAGCCACTATGGTCCAAGCCCGCATCCTGGCTCCCCTGGCTGACTATTGCAACTGACTGGCTTCCCAGTGTGCTCTCTTGCCCCTCTATAAATCCCGCAGAGTGGTAACCAGTCGTTGTTTTACAATATTAATCAGATCAGGTAACCTCCCTATATCTTACCTTCAGATTTTTGCACAGCTGGCTCCTTTCCTTTTTTTCTGGGCTCCTCCAATGTCACCTGACCAAGAGGTCTTTCCTGACCACCCTATTCAAAAAGGACCTCACCCTGGCACTGTGACTACTTCTGTCACAGCATAACGGAGTATCTAAATTTATGTTGTTGGTATCCTCATTACGATTTGCTTTGACAAAGCTGGAAACCCTGTCTTATTCACTTCTATGAATCATGCCCAGGACACATAGATTCTTCTCAAATAAATATGTTAGACAAATTAACTCATTTCTAAAATCCACCTTGCTAACAAAACATAAATTAATGCCATGTTCATGATCCCCAATTCAAACATTTTTTTAAATCTACAGACTATGTTATATAAAAATCTATACTGATTATACATTAAAATACAAAAACTAAATTCATTGTAAATTGCTTAAGAAATTGAAGGAATGGAGGGGAAACTAAATGAGTTTCACTGAAATACACTATAATCAATAATAGAATTGGCAATTTACAACCTACTCTCCCCAATTTTGCTTGGAAATGTCAATCTCCTGGCTGCCTTTCCTCTTCCATAAACTCAGCCACTCAGATCCCCCAGGCCACTACAAACAAGTGACGAGGCTGTAATCCAGTGGCAGCCTCCCCGCTCCCAACTGGCAACAATGTTCGTGCTCTCAGTCTCCTTTGCTTCCTCCTCAAAGCTCTCCGGCTCTAGCCGGAGATCTACCAAATCTACCAAATCTCTATCTCTTAGAGATCTACCAAACAGTAAATAGAACTCTTTATAATTTTGCTAGGAATTGATTATTTACTATCTCAAATGCAGCAGGATTTCTATATCTCCTGGCTTATTGAGACATGAAATGATATTTCATACATAGGCTGGGATTCACTATGTGGGAATAAATATTCATAAAGTTTATCTGAGAAGTCTAAACAAATCCATAAGCTATATACTGTAAAGTGGAAAAGTAGATAAAAAAATAAAAGAAGAAGGAAAATAGCAATGATCACAAAGTGTTGGCTGATTCTGGTACAAAAAAAAAGTAGCTTTTCTGAAATAAATACACTCTTCTAAAGTTACAAAATGTAAATGCTTCAAATGATCAATTTCAATTTCATTGATGCCATCAGGAGTCACGAATATTCTTAATTAGCTTATACAAAAATGCAATTAAATACAAAGGAAAAATAAAGGAATATTACAGGGATCAGTTGTAAACACTGTATAACTGTGAATCGCTATAACTTATCATTAAGAGATGGCTCAGGTTGAAAATACCAAGATGGAGAATTTTTCTTTGGCCCACTAAAACACACAAAATCTATTATGGACCAGATTTTTCACAAAAATCAAAAAGTAATTAAAGAAAAATACCCACTTTTCCAATTTTATAATTCAGAAAAAAGTACATACAGAATTAATAAAAGAAATAATCTCAAAATGTATCTTCCTATGATGTGAGATTGTGACCATCAGACACAGAGACTGGGAAAAGTGAAAATACTGACACAATGAGAAACAGAGACTCAAGTTCCCACATAAGCAACAGAAAAATAATTTTCAATCTTCCTTCCCTTCTGTACCACATATTCACAGATACGAAGGAATAAAAATAGACCCAGTATTTTCATGGAAAAAGACCCCAATCCTTTTACCATTAGGATAATGCAAAATATCCAAGCGATGCTGCATATATTTGCATCCATGGACATGTAAGGGAAATAATCTTTTGATGAGGGCCAGAGAATTAAGTGGACAGTCAGGGACTTGCCACTCCTATTCTATATACTTTCTATAATTGTATATTCCTTCCAACAGATTTACATTGCTTGAATTCATTTACATGAGATTCATTTAACCTTTAATTATGAAAAAATATCTATACTAATGATGACAAAAATATGTAAATACTGTAATATTTAAGGGACATTGAGTGGTTTTTGATAGGGGAGCTTAAATACATAAACATGGGGCGCCTGGGTGGCGCAGTTGGTTAAGCGTCCGACTTCGGCCAGGTCACGATCTCACGGTCCGTGAGTTCGAGCCCCGCGTCAGGCTCTGGGCTGATGGTTCAGAGCCTGCAGCCTGTTTCCGATTCTGTGTCTCCCTCTCTCTCTGCCCCTCCCCCGTTCATGCTCTGTCTCTCTCTGTCCCAAAAAAATAAATAAATAAACGTTGAAAAAAAAAATTAAAAAAAAAAATCTCCTAAAAAAAAAAGACATAAACAAAAACACCCCACAAATACAATGACTTCTCCTACACTAGATTACATGGATAGCTTAAAAAGCTAGGGAATTACCATCGGGCACTACCCTCAGTTCTAAAAGCGGTTATTTCTAAATACTGATATATGAGAGACTACTATAGCAACAAAATTATTATGAACTATCAAATAGGATTTCTGCTGTTATATGATGAAATATAATCAAGTGAGGAATTATCTGAAGTTCCGTATGACCCATTACAGCTGTCAAAAGTAATCTTACCGTAGTGCAGAGTAGACACCCAAAGACAGAAATGAATAATCAGGATCGTAGTACAAATATACAGATGACACACAGTATGGAAGGATGTCAATCACCCCCACAGCAATGATTCTCCCGTCAAGCCAATACTGCTGGTGAAAGGAGCCATAACCACAATCTGGTCCATTAGGGGGATTCTCCGCCTGTGAAAAAGCAGACATACATGTGAACAGTTTCTTTTCTTTTTAATATTTATTTATTTGGGGGCAAGCACAAGTGGGGGAGGGGACAGAGGATCCAAAGAGGGCTCTGTGCTGACAGGCTGACAGCAGTGAGCTCAGTGTAGGGCTGGAACTCACAAACCACGAATCATGACCTGGGCCAAACTCGGACACTCGACTGACTGAGCCATCTAGGTGCCCCCCCCCTTTTTTTTTTTAAAGATTTTTACTTTTAAGTAATCTCTACAACTCAATGTGGGGCTCAAACCCACAACCCCAGGATCAAGAGTCACAAGCTCCACTGACTGAGTCAGCCAGGTGCCCCTATCATCTTTTTCTTTATATTAAAAATCTTAATAATTGTCCTGTTATACTTCTACTTTGTAACTCCTAAAATTTCCTGCTGTCATCATCCTCTGCAATCACACCCTACAAAACGTTTTACTTGTAGAAACACTGACCAAACAAAAGAATGAGAAAAAGAAATAAACTTAAGGTTTTTTTTTTTAAACCTTGTTTAAAAATTTAACAGTAGGAAATACAAATTTTACAGGATAAGTAAATATTAAAGTCTATTTTTCGGTTCCACACAAAAGCTGAGACAGAAATGGTGCAGGAAAGAAAGACGGGGAACACAGAAGGAGAGGGGTGGGTGAGAACAGAACTGCCCCTATACCATCAGCCAAGCCTCATCTGTGACAACCCTCGCACTGACAAGGCATATGATCCTATTATCTTTTGTAGGTAAGAGTTCCTGTGTAAATAAAAAAAGGGCTAGGACACTTCCCTTTATGAGCCAAAGGAAAATAATTTCCTTACCATTATCTTAATGTAACTATAATCCCACAAAAGAAACTTAGAGATTTCAGAGTATAACCTTTTATCTGTAAATAGTTGAGTGACACTTTTCATTTTAAGATTCAATGATTTTAAATATTTATTTATTTTGAGAGAGAGAGCGAGCAAGCGAGGGAGAGGCAGAGAGAGAGGGAGAGGCAGTCCCAAGCAGTTTCCATGCTATCAGCACAGAGCCCAGCGGGGGGTGATCTCATAAACCGTCAGATCATGACCTGAGCCAAAATCAATAGTCAGACGCTTAATCGACTGAGCCACCCGGAAGCCCCAAAATTCAGTATGATTTTAAATGTAACTGTTGCTAAATGAAAATTATGATGCAACATGAAACAATGCTTTGGTAGAGACTAAATGGATGTTACAGATTAACAATTTAAGTGAACAAATACAACATGCACTATATATATACACACACATGTATATCACATACATCATTTTCACACAGCTAAAATCACAGATAACATATATACACAAAAGCCGGAAGAGAGGGGTGCCCAGGTGGCCCAGTTGGTTAAGCATCTGACTTGAGCTCAGGTCAGGACCTCACTGTTTGAGAGTCTGAGCCCTGCATCAGGCTCTCTGCTGTCAGCACGGAGCCCACTTTGGATCCTGTCCCCTTCTCTGCCATTCCCCTGCTCGCACACACACTCGCTCTCACCACTCTCAAAAATAAAAATAAACACTAAAAAAAAACCTAGAAGAGAATGAAGAAAAATGAAAAAGTCAGTTTACTAATATTAAAACCAGAAAAAAGACATTACAAGACAGGAAATCTACAGATCAGAATCTCTCATAACACAGATGCAAAAATCCTCACCAAAATCTTAGCAAATTAAATCCAACAATGTATGAAATGAATTATACACCATGACAAAGTGGGATTTATTCCAGGTATGGAAAGCTGGTTCAACCTTAAAAAAGTAATTTAAAATAAAAAGCAGTTAATCATGGAAAGATGCTAAAGGAAAAAATCATATATCAATTGACGCAGAAAATACCTCTGACAAAATCCAGCATCCAGTTATGACTAAAACTCAACAAACTAGGAAGAGAAAGGAACTTCGCCAGCTTAATAAAGAACATATACAACAAATCTACAGCTGACATCACACTTAATGATAAGAAAATTGATGCTTTCCCCAGTAAGATTCCCTTATTCAACATCATACTGAAAATGCTAGTTAGTGTAATAAAAAAAAAAAAAAAAGGAAATAAAAGGTATTAAGATTGGGAAGGAAAAGAATAAAACTGTCTTTATTCACAAATGACATGATTTACTATGTAGAAAATCCCAAAGAGTCAATAACAACAGAAAATGGAAATAATAAGCCATCATAGCAAGGTCACAGGACACAAAGCTAACAATCAAAAGCCATTTGCTTTACTACATACCAGCTATAACTGAAATATGAAATTAACAACCCAGTGCCATTTTGTAAAACCAAAAAAAAATTACATGCCTAAATATAAATCTAACAAAGTATGTACAGGATATATATGCAGAAAACTGACAAAATGAAACAAAGAGATGGTAAATAAGTGTAAAAATATTATCTGTTAATAGACTGTAAGACTCAATATTGTTAAGATGTCCATTTTCCCAAGTTGGTTTATACATTTAATGCAATCCCAATCCAAATCTCAGCAAACTATTTTGTAGGTATAAACAAATTTGTTCTAATGTTCATATAAATAGGCAGAAGACCTAGAATAACTAACGTAATACTGAAGAAACAAGTCGAAGGTCTGACACTGCCTACGTCGAGACTTACTGTAAAGCTACAATGATCAAGATAGGGTCTATACTGGCCAAATAAGAGAAGAGTAGAACAATGTAACAGAACTAAAGCCCAGAAATAAGCCCACATAAACATGGCGGACTATCCTCTGACAAAGGAGCAAAGACAGTCCAAGAGAGAAAGGACAGTCTTTCTAACAAATGATGCCGGAACAATTAAACATCCAAATGCCAGAAAATCCAAATCTAGACAAAGACCTTACAGCTTTCAAAAATTCAGCTCAAAATGCACCACAGACCTAAATATAAAATGCAAAACTATAAAACTTCTAGATGATAACAATAGGAGAAAATCTGGGTGACCTTGGGTTTTGCGATGAGTTTTTAGATGCAATGCCAGAAGCACAAACCATGAAAGAAATAACTGATAAGCTGGACTTCATTACATTTCAAAAGTGCTCTCTCTACAAAGACACTGCTAGGAAAATAAAAAGTTAAGCCACTGACTGGAGAAAATTGCAACACATGTATCGGATAAAGGACTGGTATTCAAAAATAGAAAGACTGTTAAAATTCAACAGTAAGAAAACAAACAGCCCAATTAAAAACTGGGCAAAGTATCTGAGCAAACACCTCACCAAAGAAGATGTACAGGTGGCAAATAAGCATATGAAAAGCTGCTCAACATCATCTGCTAGGAAACTGAAATTAAAACACACACACACACACACACACACACACACACACACACACACACACACACACACACACCCCGAGCTAATACTACTCAACTATTAGAATGGCTGAAATCCAAAAACCTGAATCAAATGCTGGCGAGGACGCACAACAGTAGGAACTCGGATTCACTGATGATGATGGAATATAAAACGGTACAGATACTTCAGAGGACAGTTTGGGACTTTCCAGTAAAGATAAACATAGCGTTACCATATAAAATAGTAATCACGCTCTTAGGTATTTATCCAATTTGTCTGACAACTTGGGTCACACAAAACCCAAAGGCCTGCATGCAAATGTTCATAACAATGTTATTTATAATTGCCCCAAACTGTAAGCAACCAAGATATCCTTCAATAGGTGATAAATAAACCATGACACATGGAATATTATTCATCAAAAGAGATAAACTATCAAGCCACAAATACACAAAATGAAGAAACCTTACATGCATATTGCTAAGTGAAAGAAGCCAGTCTGAAAATGCTCCATACATACATTCCAAATACATCCAGTAAAAGGCAAAACTACAGAGGCAGTAAAAAAAATCATTGGTTGCCAAGAATTTGGGGGATTTGGAACAGGGGACTTTTAGGATAAAACTATTCTCTATAGTTCTGTGCTAGTGGATACTTGACATTATACACTTACCAAAACTCAGAACTTTATAAACACAAAGTGAGCCTTAATGGATGCAAACTAAAAGAAAATCTTTTAGGAGATTAAGGGATCCCAGGAAGGAATGGAGACAGGACAGAGAATCTACCTGTATTACAAATGTATGAAACAACCTGACTGAAAGAGGTCGGTCGGGAGGGGAAAGGTGCTGACTTCAGTAACCTTTGGGGTCTGTAAGAATGAAGGCAAAAGGAAACCCGCACATAAGCATTGTATTCTACCTGATAAAGTTGTTTTCCACGAGACTACAGGTTAACAACTCTGACACTGATACACGTGCCTACTGTAAAGTGACGGAGGTGATGGGAACCAAGTTTCACACTGTTGAAGTCGTAATTTACAGATAAGCAAGGGGAAGAGGCTAGAATGACCCACAGGGTGATGGATTAGTATTGGAGACATGCGTAAGAACTCACATTTAGCTTAATACAGACAAGATGGTTACATACAGAAATATTTATAGGTCTGTATATACCATAGATATGTTCATACAAGGGTTAGTACGCACACATATGTTTCTTTACTCTGCCAGATGAGAAGGCCTAAATAAAGGAAACCCTAGTAGCAAGAAGCACATCTAGCACTCAGATCTTGGTTTCTCCATTCTGTAGTAAAAGGAACAAGGCTCTTTGGAAAAATGGCCAATTCCAGGACTGGGACAGGAAGAGCCCGTTTAAGATGAGCCTACTTCATCGTGTGGTGCCAAAAAAGAAAGAAAGTACTTAAAAAAACAAAAAGAAACACGCACTGATGGAGTTATATCAAAGAGGCACAGAAAGCGACTGAAAAAGCTCCCAATGGCCAAAGCTGGAACAATTCGAGCAAAAAAAAAAAAAAAGTGTTAGATTACAACCCAAAGTATAAAATTAATATCCGTAAGTCCATACTGACATACACGATTGAAAAAATTAATAAATGAGGAAGAAAGACGAATCTCCCATGCAGAAGAATTCCAAAGAGTTCAGGTAGACAG